TATTACTGAAAATTTCATCAAAATCCGTTGAGTAGTTTGAAAGATATAAGCGAACAGACAGCGGAAGCGACTTCATTTTATACTATGTAAAGATATATCATATACGATAACTGAGACTGATACTTTTTACTTAGATTTCTACTTTCCAGACGAGGTATAAGTTGAATTTAAATATTACACTAGCGCCTTACCATTTCTTCCTCGGGTGCATTCCTAGGTAGGTCTATCGGTAGCGCTACTTGTATATACTCGTACAAGAAAAACATTTTTCTTTCTGATTGATCTTTATGGGAATTTTATTTAACAGAAACCTTTATGTTACTGCCAGTAAGTCTATAAATACTAAATTTCATCTAAATCCGTAAAGCCTCTTCAGGAAGGAGTACCAAAAACACACATACAAACACGCATATATGTATGTAAAATGTGCATATGTATATAACTTTTACCTTTTTAATAGTAGTGTGTCATAATCTATACATACGTATAATTCTGAGTCGAATCTGTACGTTAAATATTTTTTGGAAATCTATAGTATTTAGAATTTTTGTCTGTCTCCTGGGAACACATCACGAGAAAATACTGGACAGATTTTGATGAAATTTGTTATGATAATAACTTGTTACCCGGGTCAACATATAGGATACTTTTTACTGCGAAAAAATGTCTAATCCCAAAAATATATACTTACCGTAAAAACGTACCTAGTATTTAATAAATAGACTTACTGATAAATGTTCATTATACTTCAAAAACTATTCAAGTGTTGATAATAGTTGATGACATCCATTAGCAGTCCCAACTTGGATATTAAAGCTGCGTCTAAGTTAGTAAAATGGTTCGCACTAACTTCAAACAACTTGGAGAAACCATCGCCGTTCGTAGATAATGCATTTCGAATAGTAGACCAGCTTCCTAGTTTATACGATTTAGTTTCAAAGTTATTCACAATATTATAAAGCATTAATATAATCTTTTAGTACTTTTTTATTAACCAAACCCTTGTTAATACGAAACTATCTATACATATAATAAAATTGTAACTAAGCCGAATCTGTACATTAAATATTTTTTGGAAAATCTTACTGAAATAAACATTATTATCGATACAGAGGCCGATTCTATAGTTTTTAGAATTTTTGTCTGTCTGTCTGTTACCGCATCACAGAAAAACCACTGGAGGGATTTTGAAATTTGTTATGGCGATAGCTGGTTATCCGGGTCGACATATAGGGTACTTTTTACCGCGGAAAAATATCTCATTTTTGAGAAAAAATACAAAAACTCCAATGTAAGAGTATACTAATATGTAAAACCTAAGAATTTGGTTTTTGGCCATCTGAACTCGGGCGGAGCCGCGGGGAGTGCTAGTCATTACAAATATTATTACCTTAATAATCCGAAGAAGAGAGGCATCTTTTCTTCGTACACTTATAATGTCTTTTGTTATCTTTTGCCAGATACTAGGTTCTATGACAGTATGAAGTGCTTAGTACCTCAATTCAGTTTTAGCCAATACTTATTTTCATTATTAATACTTATCTTATATAATAATCTGATATAGTAAACTTTTGCTTCACCTTGAAGTCTTTAAAATCTCAATATTGATAGATACATATTTTAAGATAGATTATAGAATAAGTGGATTTGCTCGTGAATATTATATTCACACGTTAATGTAATAAGATTTACAAATTTTGTAGATTGTTGGCAAAGTTTCAAGAAGCATGTTGGCTATAATAATTGAGTTGAAAATTGAATACATTATCCTTATTAATCGCTCTGATTAATGTATTATACATAATACTGATAAAATATGAGCACGTCTTTCCAAGAATTATCTCGATTTAAGCATAATAATAAAGATCTAAAGCCGTATTTCTAAGCAATGTTTATCTCGAGTCTGTAATAATATATGTAATATTTATAGATACGTTAGCAATATCCAATATCCTGTGGATATATGAAAATATTTGTTATATTTATGTTTTAACTAGTAGGTATATATTTTAGATACGTATGATTTGATATGATACGCTGTATAATTCAAGCGATTTTTAAAATTATCATTGATAATATTAATACCTTTTTATCGGGGTTTCGCTAATTTACTCGAAATTTTGAGGGTGTACGAGCCAAACGGACATCTGAGATTTGGATTCAGCGGCATATAATACATATAAGTAGGTAAGGGGGTCTATTAAATGTACAGACCAATTTTTGGGTGTCGATGTAATTTATAGAAGAGAGGCATCTTTTCTTCGTACATTTCCACGTGCTTTAATTATGATGTAAAGGTTATTGAAAAACGTTTTTTTGGTTATATAATACGTATATTTGGCTTTTCACATAGCTTACTAATAAAACTCATTTTATAATTTTCTAGTATAACTCTTATATTTACCCTAAAAACCAGAATTTATTTATTTATTTTACGTATTATAGATATTATTTGTATTATGTACCTAAGTTCAACGTTTGCTGTTCTTTAGGTTCGAAGAAAATAGAATCTAACAGACGCATACACAGACAGACACATAAGTGATTTTATTAGGGTTTCGTTCTATTTAGTTTTTGTACAGCGGTCTTAAGAAAAGGCTTTAATTATATTATTTGTTTGAAGTGACACGCCCTCACTGTGATCCAACTGTACACCACGTCTAATAGCCTATTTAGTGACCTATTTAGTGAGTAGGACAAAATAATATTTACTACACAACCCTTGTTTTGTTCTGGGTAAAAAGAGATGAATAAACACATTTTGGAATTTACATGTAATACTAGTAAATTATTAGAAAAGTGACATTAATTTTTTAATAGAATTCATATAATTGTTGATACTTACTTATAATTTATTTTATTATGAAAATAACTGATAAGGGTCTGCCCAGAGCTCGCATGGTAAAAGGGCCGCGGTTAAAAGTTAGCCTATACCTAATATCCCCGTGATCCAAACTGGGTACATCCTTGCCACATATCTTAATCACTACATAGTATAACACAAAGTCGCTTTCTCTGTCCCTATATCCCTATGCACGCTTAAATCTTTAAAACTACGCAACGGATTTTAATAGATAGAGTGATTCAAGAGGAAGGTTTATATGTATAATACATACATATTACAGTACAGAAAAGCCGAAACATTCAAAGATTTGTATTCCATACTAACCGTTAAAACTTACCTACCTAGGGACGAACCCGAGCGAAGCGAGGGTGAGTCGCTAGTATCATCTAAATCTGTTCAGTGGTTTACATAATATGCTTGCAGTGATGACAAACAGACTGTTCCTTTATATTTATAATGTTAGTATGGATTTTAACTGAAGTACCTAAGAACTGGATTAAGTTGAAATATTAATACTCAATATAATACAACTAAGTTTAATTAATATTTTTTCTTCATTTTTATTGTAATTGTTGAGTTATTATGCATATAAAATAATCCAGGCGCTTACTTCAGTTTTGCTTCACCCAATATACAATTTTCTATCCCAATTTACGTACCGTGAAGAGTGCTTTATAGTACAAGAGAAGTCGTGATTGCAACGCTGCAACTAGAAGAGTTGTACGCTGTTATTTGAAAATCATACAAACAAAAGAAATTCTTATAAAATATTATAGTCAACTTTTTCAAAATTTAATTACAAGCTTTATAAAAATTCTACCGTTAAAATAACATCTTATTATTGTTGGAAAACAATAAAACAATTCCGTTTCAATATTTACCCTCGCACCCTCGCTTCGCTCGGGTTAGTCCCTAGTTTGATTCCCAATACAAACTGTAATCCCCATTTCCACCAACTTAAGGAATGATTTCCGGGATAAAAAGTATCCTATGTCCTTCCCAGGGTCTCAAACTGTGTTCTTACCTAATTTGATCTAAATCGGTTCAATTTTTATCAGATTACTTCCTACAACGTTACAAACTCACAATCTCTCAAACTCACAAACTTTACTTAATATATCTATAAGAAATAATAAAAATATTACACAAAGAAACAAAATTTCTAAAGACAAGCACTATATCGTTTATATAAAATAAATGAAATCTTATCGCAATATGCTATTTCTTCTTGATAGCTCATCAAAATTCTTTTGTTTGAAATTCCATTACCAAGTTCAATACAGTTGTAAATCTAAATAGTCTTAAAACATTTATTTTAATTGTTATTTTTTAAATAAAAAGTTACACCGACGACTTTACAATCACTTTTAGGTAGGTATTCTACCTGCAAAAACTTAATTAAAAATAAATATAATATATCATTTTATGTTACTTTACCATATAATAATTCGATTCAAATGTATCAACAATTAGATCTATAATATACTAACAGAACCCGCGGCTTCGCTCGCGTTATAAGTACAGAAAAATCTCTAAAAAGGTAGTTTCATACAAACTTTCATCCCCTATTTTAACCCTTTATGGGATGAGTTTGGAAAAATGCTAAACCCGTATTTATTTAATTTTATTAAAGAGCATTATTACCAACCAAGTTTCAAGTAATTCTGGTCATATTTTTTTTGATCGTATTATAACGTGTTTTCCTGTGGGAATTAGATAATTTCCCGCGGTAAATAGTAGACTATGTCACTCTCCAGCCCTCCAACTATCTCCACACAAAAAATCACGCCAATACGTTTCGACGTGAAAGAAGGACAAACAAACAAACAAACAAACAAACAAACAAACACACATACTATTACATTTATAATATTAGTATAGATGATAACATAATATTCTTATTATTATAGTATATTAATTTAAGCCACTTAATGTTTAAGGGAGAATTTTTTGGAAACTATTTCTTCAAGATATCTGTACCTACATAATTTTAAATATGTGCTCTCTGAATATTTATATCTACTCTATGTTTGACCTGTTAAATGAGATAAGATATATTAAATACATATACAATCACGAGTTCACGCTTACGTCAAAATACTTAAGTTTATGAACTGTACCGGACGTTTATTGAAGAAATAGAAAATTTAACATTATGATAGGTGAGAATTCTTTTTGTGATTTGTTCTTCTATATCTAAAAATATATGTTACCTTAACATATTTTATGTTATATATATTTGGAAGTAATTTGGTATTATTCAAATCATCTAAAGCTATACAAAATCACAGGTAGACACATAAATTTTATTTATAAGTGATGATGATGTTCTCCTAGCCGATTCCGGCTACGGCGGCCAATCTCATTCAGACTAGCCAACTGCGCAGGAGATATTATAGTGCACAAGTGTACGCGCAGACACAAGGACACTCTCTATTCCTGTCACTCTCATACTCCGGTGGGATGACTGCTCGACACGACCAGTGAGAGTTAAGGCGCAGGACCGACGGCTTTACGTGCTCTCCGAGGCACGGGGGTGAAGCACCGCCAACTTCCCAACTCCGGGCTGTTACTGAGACTTACTATACGGAATGACTCAATAACTAAACTTGGCCCGACCCGGGACTCGAACTCAGGACCTTTGAGTGTGCAGCCGTACATGCTAGCCACTACACCACCGAGGCAGTTTATATTTATAAGTACAGATTATAATTTTGTATGACTAACGACTCAAACGTGGGAATAAGATATCTTCCTGTAGTAAGAGTTATCATAAATTTCGACCTCAGTTATCACTAAACAAAATTTAGTTAAAATCTGTTCAGTACTTTTTGCGTGAAACGCACACACATATATAGACAAGCAGACATACAGACAAACAGACAAAAATTTCAACAACCATTACTTTGGATTCTACATTCTATACACAATATGAGACAGTCATTCTTTTAAAAAAAATATTTCACGTACACATTTCGATTCGTTATAATTTAATTACATCATTATATTATGTACGAGATTTAATTGAGCATTTAATTATAAAACTTTAATCTAGCCGTTTCATTAACATACATTCGAAGAATTTGTTAGCATTTCGAGGACGAGTAGAACAATTACTTCTAATTCCCTTTTAGTTGTCGACTTGTTTTCAAACACTGCCAATTTGTACGTGAGTAGCTTTATAATGTAAGACATTTATTGCTTGGAAATTCTAATTCATAAAGTATCCGCTCTGTAAATTACTTTTAATCAATAAGTTGTATTACTTTATAAAATTTAATAATATTATTTATGAATTTTGCAGCAATAGATACAGTCGTGGAAAATAGCAAAGCATTGAAAGTTAAATTTACGAATGGTGAATCGATAGGTTTTGAGAATGTTTGGCTGAGAGATCATTGCAGGTAAAGTTATATTGTATCGATTCATAGTTTACAACATTATTATAAAACTGTAGTTTTTTTTTTATTTGTTTCTTTGTTTTAACTCGCTAACTAAGAGACTATCGCCCCAATTTTAAAATTTCTTCTTGCATTAGTTAGAAAAAAGTTATGCATGTATATATATTTTATCTAACAACGTCATGAGACCGTTAAGAACGCTAACTCGAGCGGGATTCAAAAAAAAAATAGGGTACTCAAAATAAATAAATAGGTAATTAGAGCACGTAAAAAATAGGGTATTCGTACTGGAACGATTTGATAAAATCGCAGTTTTTTGATATAGATATAAGTAATAAAAAAATCTAATCTGCCTCGCAAAGTTTTTTTTCCTATATAAACTTTCCTATAATATATAAATAATTAAAAAAAAATCAGTTACATTACGATATTTTTTAGAATTGGCTGTCAATATTTTATTTGTAGCGATCTGTACTAAGATTTGATCAATCAATCATAATAGACTAAGTGATTGAACTCTCTACGGAGTTTAAAATACTATCTTTCCTACCAAATACGAGTATAACACTTTCATATAGGTACATATAATATTCATAGGAATAAATACAAACTCTGTCCCAATTAAACCTCTTTGCAGATGTTCAACATGTTACCATGCAAGTACGTTTCAGCGAGCACATCATTTGATAGACATTCCGGATGTAGACATCAGCAGCGTCGAAAACGACAAGAGTCAAATCACAATCACATGTAAACACGAATTATTTGGAATTAGATTCTTAATTGAATGAATCTGAAGTAAAACTTGAAATTTTATTTTAATTTTATTTTTGCTGAATTAATATTTAAGTACGATTTTCTTTAATATGTGTACAAAAAGATATACCTAATACAGATATTTGGTGAAAGTATATTTGTAATACCTACAATTACTCATATAGAACTACCTCGGTGGTGTAGTGGCTAGCATGTTCGGCTGCACACTCGGAGGCCCTGGGTTCGAGTCCCGGGTCGGGATATCTTATCTGATATTGTTCTAAATATTCACTTAACTAAAATAGTATACTAGATAACGAAAAATACTGATTTCATTATATTCGATCATTTTAATTTTTTCAGGGAACGACAAACATAAATCAATTTACAAAGTAGATTTTTTGTTACAATTTAATTACGAGAAATGGAAGGAGAGTCGCAGACTGAGACCATTATTATGGTGCGGCAAAGAAGTTAATAATAAAGTTACAAAAATTCAAGTGGACACTTTTCTCAATACCCAGGAAGGGGCGAAGGCTGTTTTTCAATCTCTTCTAGATTATGGAGTTGCCCTTATTAAAAATGTGATTGTTTATGAATATATCATGCTAATTTTAGTAGATGAGAGTAATTTTTACCGCGTCATGATTTCATATTTTTTTTTACATTTTATTCTTTAAACAAGCAAATATTTGAATTTTCGTCTATAGTTCTGCTTAAAATCCTCGGTTGCATGGATCGATTGACTTAAGTGGAATATTTTAAACCTGTTATACTCTGAATTAAATGATTAAAACTTAGCCAAAACTATTTTAAGTAAAATTCAGTAATTTCGATGCACATTTAGGTATTTCTATTATTAGGTAAATCTTAAACAGTTAACTTATAAATATTTTTATAGAAATGAGGTGTAACATTTTTCGTTTTAACGTTTTTCATAGAAGTTATTTTATCTCAGGTGGACGCATCAGTAAAAGCAACAGAGACAGTTTGTAAAGCTCTTGGTGGAGTACAACATACTATGTTTGGCGGCATGTGGGAATTTACTACTGTGCAAGATCACGCAGATACCGCATACACTAATTTACCTTTGGCTGTCCATAACGATAACACATATTTCAATGAGGCAGCAGGGTGAGTTTTATTTTATGTATATAATAATATAGTACCTGGGCGACCGAGCTTCGCTCTGAGTTTTTGGCCAAAAAAACATTAAAAAAAAACAAACTAAAAATTTCAATAAATACAAAAAAAACGAAAGTAAATCTTTGTATCCGACCGGGATACGAATCTAGGCACCTGTGGTTGTCAAACTTGCGCCTTGGCCGTTTGACCACGATGCTTATATCCTAGAATGCGAATTAGCGACCATATTTTGCGTGGAATAATGCGAAACCAAACCGCATGAAAACTCGAAAACACGCGTTTTCCCAGACCTCTTGTATATTATATTCATGAAAATCGTTGAAGCTGTTTTAGAGATTCAGATTATATATATATATATATATATATATATATATATATATATATATATATATATATATATATATATATATATGTGTGTGTGTGTGTGTGTGTGTATCAATCGTCTCAAATAAACTCAATTTAATTCAAACTAGATATTGTAGGAAAGAAGACTTTTTAAAGAAACTACTATGATTGTTCTGATATTGTGAATGACTCTGTAAATAATAGCATTTCCCGCCAGCTCTTTTTAAGAAAATATTGTTATTACCTTTGTCACTAATAAATAAAGCTAGACAAAAGCGACGAAATGCCCGCGTTCGAATCACAACAAAGACTTTCCAACAATTTCTGAACTACTGAAACGGTCTGTGTAATAAAGGACATTCTGATAAAACGAACAGCGGTAAATATCTGAAAAATAACCAACTTTAGTAATAAATCTCCACTTTGTAGAGGAAAAATATATAGTATTGTTAGGTCCCCAAACCGCAGTTGTTTCATTAACCACAAAAACTAAATAAATTATATATTTTCTCGAAAAATTGACCATTTAAGCCTGTTTTCTCTAGAAAGTTGTTAGAGAAAAACTATAATTTTCTTTTGTGAATATATTTTCAACAACAATAAACACTCGTACTTTTGTATTAAAGTAGTTTGATGTTTTATTTTAAATTCTCGGCCTAAAAAAGATTTAAAAATTTTAGGCTGGCTTATACGAGTACATAGCTATAAAAATATTTGCAAAGTTTTTAAAAATAATAAATAATAATTAGTTTATTTTTGAAATTTTCAGATTACAAATACTACATTGCCTTGAACATAGTAATGGCGCGGGTGGCGATACGTTACTGGTGGATGGGTTTTATGGAGCGACAAAATTAAGGGAAGAGCACCCGGAGGAGTTTGAATTTTTAACTAACTTTGACGTAGAAGCGGAGTATTTAGAAAATGAATATCATTTCAGATATTCAGCTCCTGTCATACGATTGAATAAAATGAATGACATCACACAGATTAGGTATTATATTTTTTTATTTATAAAAAAACCCACAATCCTTTTTAGTAAAAAAATCGTGTGTGTATGTACGCACGTAAGAAGTTATAATTTTTCGGCGTAACAGAACAAAAATAGCTAAAGATTTCATCCCGTATGCCACAACTTTGTGTTAAAAAGGAATGGAATGCTTCATCATGTCGCTTTTAGCTAAGTTTAACATGTCGCTTTTTGGCTGTCCGTGTGCACGCGCATCGTAAAAATTTTACTCTAATATTTTTTCCCAAACGTGCCAAAAGAAGTATAACTTCAAAAACTAATTTAAATTGAAATAATTTGCGTCAGTATTTATCACACAGTTTATTAAAAAATAACACATATTTTCATATTAGCTTAGATCAAAATAATTATTTATTGTAATATGCCCAAGTTATTACAAAAAAACTTTTGTAAATAATAATGTGAAAACATCTAACGCAAAACAATGTTTGGATATATTATCTAGTTTAAAGTTAAAAAATTAAAAACCTATGAAATTTGTAAGTTTTATACGCAAGAGAATTATTTAGATAGCACTTAAAAAGCAACTAAAACTAGCAAACAACAACATAATACAGTAAAATTATAAATATTTTTGGTGCAGATATAACGTCTACGATCGCTCAACGATGGCATTTTCCAGTGCCGAAGAATGTAGACTCTACTATCGTTCCTTACGGAATTTGTCAAGATACTATGAAAACCCTGAATTTCAGTGGAAATTTAAACTTAAACCAGGTAAGTTTGCGAAAGAGTATTAATACGTAAATGATCTGTATGTATTTATGTACATATATGTATTTAAATCCGAGATTTTTAATAGCAAATCTATATAAATAAAAATGAATGTTGGTAAGTGCATAACTCAAGAATGGCCGGACCAATTCAGCTAATTTTTTTTTTGTATTTTCCTTAAGGTCCACGGAAGGTTTTAATAAAGAGAAAAAATGAAAAATTAACAAAAAAAAATTTATATGGCTAACGCTGGCTAATAACTATTTATAACTATTTAAAACATATATTCGATATAAATGTTTATGTCATGAACTAATAATTTCATACATTTCTCTTATTTTAGTTAGTTTGATTTTGTATTTTTTTAGTACTAATACAATAGTTTTATTACATAGTTAATCTTTATTGTATTTTAACTAACTTTAAGGTATAGTCATGGTGATGGACAACTTCAGAGTACTTCACGGCAGAACTGGCTTCAGCGGGAAACGTGTTCTGTGCGGAAGTTACGTGTCACGCTCTGATTGGTTGAATAAGGCACGTGTTCTTCATCTTATACAATAAATAAGATAACAAATAAAAGTATTAATCTAAAACCTTTTTTGATTCTATGAATAATATTGTTATTTACATTTTTGTGTTTTGTATATATTCCGAAACACGTGATACAAGACATTTAAATGATTCCTCTTTAAATGTAGCAATAAATAAGCATAACGCTGTCATACTTGAACACTAGCGGCTTGGGTTCGCCTTTAGAAAAATAAAAACAAATTTACCCAATGGGAACCATAGATTTTTCCAGACTATAGTCTATCTCTGTGCTAAATTTAATCCAGATCCGTTCAGCCGTTCTGGTGTAGTTGAGTAACAAACATCCAAACATCTAAAATGTCACATTTATAATATTACTAAGATAAAATAAATTTAGCGTATTGGAATTTAAATTATTAATACTAAAACTTGAAATTTTCTCGTCTTAAATGCATCGTAAAATTTCTGCTGAATTAGTAAATTGAGATCGAAATGATGCCAACACCAAAGTGCTACGAGAATTGTAGAAGCAGAATAAACTATTCTATTGCCAACTCTTGACTATACGTATTGTATATATAAATATAGGTCTTTTTACTTCACACATTTTCTTCACTTTGTTGACATTTGAAGTAAGTTAAAATAATATTAAACATATGAAATAGTAAATTAGTAGATTTACCTTTTTTTTTCAAAAACATAAGTAATATTTTTTTTTATTAATAACTAATATCTACCCACGGCTCCTCTTGCATGGTAGATACGCTATATTTAGTCACAGAATATCCTGTGCGCTTATATGTGAGCTTATATAAGCTATCTCTATATCATCCTTAAATCTCTTAAGCAGTTTCAGCAGCTGAAATACTAAAAAATATAAACATACATAAAAATACGCATTACGAACTTTCACATTTAAAATATTAATGTGATTTGTTATAAAAATCTAGCAGTAACTGTAAACCGCTTTATAAGTATTTTTGATACTTTTAAAAATAATCCAAAACAATGAATACCCCGTTCAAGCTTTAGGTGTATCGATTTTAAGATTTAAACTTCCGACTTCTCTTTAGTGAGGGACATTTTTCATGTGAACGGTCTCATAAATAACGATCACAGTGCCACCGCTTGTTTGGGCGAGTTTGAAGATTTATTCTCATCCCTTAATTATTATTGTACTTTGAATTAAGTATACGCTTTACCACTGAACGTTAAGGAAACAAATAAATTTGAAACTTTATCCACATGGATTTTAAGAAAACAATATGTTGTTTATATGCCGTTTTAAATAATTGCCTCGATGATTTAATGGCTAACATATACCTCTAGATATCATGAGGTCTACGATTTAAGTCCCGAGCGAACTAAAAATAGTGTTTAGATCAATAAATTCTTAGAAGCAACCTCTGTATATTCCAGAATTTTAAAATACTGTGGTGGTACGCCTAGAATCCAAATCTGCAAATGTTCATTTTTTGCCTTGAAAATTTCAAGTTGTTTGGCAATAGCTAAGAATAATTAATTATTTTATAGCAAATAATAAAGGTATTAAAGTGGAGGTGGCATTTACATATTTTATCTCATTCTCTTAACGCTAATTATTTACTTTTTCTAGAATATAACTATATTCTTACACGTACAAGTAATACTTCTATTGAAATATATGAAAAAGGTAATACTATTATAGTACATCGTCATAGTTCTAATCGAACACTCGTATATCTTCAATCCCATTGGAAATCTCCTCTTTAACAAAATAATAAGTTAGTAATGTCAATGATTCGCATCAATTTTCTTAATTTACAAGTTTTCTTTAAAAATTAAAAGATTAAAATACCATTGAGCTGTTATTTTATTTTTAAAATAGTTATTTAAACAAAGTGTTGCACGATTCTCTACAACGAATGTAATATCAGAAAAGATATCGAAAATCCCGACAACAATAACACGGAACAAGCTGTCAAGTGTTCGCTCTGTTTTATTCATATCCGTTTACTCTTGGCTTTACACCAGTTTTTCCTGATGTATGCTTTATTCCGAAAAGTATACGAAACACGTAGTAGTTTATTTACTTACCGCCCGCCATTCATAGCTTTCATTTAAAGCGATTTCTAAAGTGAAAATTGGTTTCTAATCAAATTAAAGTGGGATCAAAGCTAAATATAAAAAAAAAAGATTTGTTTAATTTAAGATATAAAAGAGTCAAATCAACTGTTACTTTTTAATATTTTTGTAATTCTTTTAAAAAGAATTATTACGTCGTAGTATTTTTTACTGTATTACTATAGTAATTATTTACCGAGTAAATCCAGAAATAGAATTATAACCTATTCTTAAGTATTTTAGTTCCGAAAATATAATAAAATTATGAATTTTACAATAAAATTTATCTAAAACAATAAATATGTAACCTTTTAAACTTTTATCAAAATATCGTTTAGTTTCATCCAATATTTTTCTGCTTTTGAGATTAAAGTATCTATTAGTTAGCATTATCTGCCAACAAACGTAACCTAAGTTGTCTCGTGTCCTGGATTCTGAGAGAAGAGATAAAATGCTATCTAAAGTCTAAATCTAAATTGTAAAAATTCGGACTATTTTCTCTATTGTAATTCAGATGCTTTCGAAATTCAATGGCTTCGCGTATTATATTTGATATATGTATGTATGTATTTATCAAATCTTTCAAGTGAATATTTAGGACATATTGAAATGAATATGTTAAATAGGTTTATCAATAAACCGACTTTTTATTATATTTTTAAATAACTTTAATTTATATATATATATATATATATATATATATATATATATATATATATATATATATATATATATATATATATGATATCCCAAACGCAATTCTCTCTAATTTATTTATATTACTTTTTTTCTGCTCTCCATATCATTCTTCAGTTGAATAAATGTTAGAATTGTGATCATTCAATATTAATATTGGTTATTTGCAATACTTTCGAGAAACAAACACAAAAAAAATTATGGCAAGCTTGCTTGTCTTATTTTAATTTGTTCTGTTTTATGAAGAAATCCACTTGCTAACTAGGCGATCTAAGTATAGATATGGTATGAAGATTCCTTTAGTCAATTAATTATCTACTAATGGCTTTACATAGTGATTTATCTGCTAAATCGGTTGGTTTCTTATTTCAGACAGTATAACTTAAGTTACTTACCTTACCTACCTTACCTTGAGTATACAATAACTTTTTAAAGTTGTGTTAAGTTTAAGATGACATTTAGATAAGTTGGTACCACAAAAATTTACAATTTTCTTATTTCTGACAGCGTTACTTAAACTATAGCTTGAGTATATAATGTCTTAAATTTAGAGTGAGTTGAGTTGAGTATATATAAAGAACTTAAATAAAAAGCATATGTAAATAAAATAAATTAATTATATTATGTATTAACTAACATTGTCATGCAAAAATTTTGATACAAATTAAACCAACGTTTCATATAACAGATGACTCCAACACAAACACAGTTGAGTTAATAGGCGTCGTGTGTGTTTTTGTAATTACTTTGTTAATTAACATTGATTAATGAACACTGGAGCTTAGGTCGATTGTTGTTTCGGTAATTGTAGATTTTGGTGTTTCAAGTTTATTTAAATGTCATCTGACGCTACTGTGCATAGATGACGTATTTTTTGTTTTTAATCTATCTATCTATATATAATAAAATTGTAACTAAGCCGAATTTGTACATGAAATATTTTTTTGAAAATGTTATTGAAATAGACATTATTATCGATACAGAGGCCGACTCTATAGTTTTTAGAATTTTTGTCTGTCTGTTACCGCATCACAGAAAAAAAAACACTGAAGGGATTTTGATTATATTTGGTATGGTGATAGCTGGTTATCCGCGGGAAAATATCTCATTTCTGAGAAAAAATACAAAAACTGCAAGAGTATACTAATATGTAAAACCTAAGATTTTGGTTTTTGGTCATCTGAACGCGGGCGAAGCCGCGGGCAATGCTAGTATTCTATGAAAAACAAAAGTGCATAGTACATTATACAGTCTGAGACATACATATTTTATCCTTACTGTGGCTTGCGAGTCTAGCCACGGGTATGTATGTTTGGGCTTCGCCAAAATCGAGTAAAAAAATATAGTTTCATTGTATAACATTTGATATCCGTGGGACCATAACACGGAGGATTTCACAAACTGATAACCCAAAAGCTTTTGACAAAATATCTGATTCGTTACTCACTTACAGACTTACAGATATCGGTATACATATCGGACCGTGTTAATAATAATAATAAATATGTTGGGACAATAACACCACAACACCATCTAGTTCCATTGTAAGCTACGAGGCCTGTGTCATGGATACCAGATAGTTGATACACTATACATATTGTATAATTTCAGATACATACATATTATAAATATAAACACCCATGACTGGAGTACAAACATTCGTGCTCGTCACACAAATGAACGCCCCCAGCGGCACTCGAACCCGCGACCGCTGGCTCAGCAAGTAGAGTCACTACAAACTGAGCCGAACGTGCCGTCAAATTAGTTTTGGTTTTCAGATAAGATCACGGCTACTTTCCTAATTCGAATCCAACTGTAATATAATATTTTATAGTAGTAAATGATATTTTAATAGATAGTATAGATTTCTTTATAGAATAATCTTTTAAATAAAATATAATAATCTATACTAATATTACAAAAGCGCAGAATTACTTTGTTTTTTTTCGTTTGCACGCGCTAATCTCAGTAACTATTAATCCGATTTGAAAAAATATTTTTGCATTAGATAGCCCATTTATCGAGGAAGGCTATAGACTATATATCATTATGCTACCCAAGGGTGCGGAACAGTAATCATAAATGTCAACAAATCGGCCAGACTTCCATACATTATTGTAAAACCGATGTTTATAATCAAAGAAATTTAACGCGTTTTAATTTTATATATAAAAGAAGTAAATACACAGACAAGATTTACTGAATTCTGTAGATATATTTTTACGACA